CATTTTCACATTCAGCCATTGCTCTTGACAGCACGGTCTTTGTCTCAGGTTCGGTGGGTTCTCATCTTTACAGCTCACAATGTAGCCAAACCAACCTTCTACCCATGAAGCCCTGAGCATTTCTGAACACCCAGAGTCGTCATCCTGGGCCCCAGCTTTTCTCAAGATAGCTTCGTTTATGGAAACAGGTTGTGCTTGTGTGATTGACACTAGTACCACCCTGGTTGGGAAGGGTCTGTCCCAGTCCAACAGTAGCCCTGATTTTCAACCTCGAGAAAAGCCATCAAGACCATGGTTGCCTGTCTCCCATGGTTTCTTATCCATATTGTTCCACCTGCCCTCCAGTGATGGGGTCTTCAGGAAACTGGCAACCTTGGGAGAGTCTCAAGAGGTCATGTATTGGACCTCCCTACCCTGGCATTGAAGGCTCAGTGACCGTATGAGCTAGGCAGTGTGCACATGACTACAGGAAATTATTCTGCTCATTCTCTCTGGAAAAACAGTGAATACCTTTCAAAGTGGGTTTCTCTTCTGCCTATTCCTTTCAATTGTTGGCAAAAATAAAGCTTGGCTTCAGAATGACTTTCTGTCCTTCCTGTTCCTAGAAAGGGTCGGAAAATTTACCCCACTTAAAGCATCTTAATCATTGTCATCTTCAATCTATGAGAAAATCTCTTTGGGTTTTGATAATTTTTAAGTTAAAAACACACTTCTTTATTCACCATTTTACCTAAGCCTTACATTTATTATGGAAATTAAGTAAGGCATGATTCTTGCCTCATTTGAGCTCGGATTCCATAGTCCTGCCCAAGGCCACACAGCTGGAAAGTAGGGACAAGTCTAGAACTGATACCCCTTACTAAAGGAGCATTTTCTAAGTCATATGAAAACCAACATTGTGACTTTGAGGAATCCATAGTCTAATAGGACTTTTCTACTTCTCTTGGCTCTAACATATTGGAAGAGTATGAGTATGTCCTGAGTTTAAAGAAATTCAGACAGTCCAGACTTCAGCCAGCTGACGTCAGGCCTGGGGAACTGAAGGTGGGGTCTTACAGAATTGAGGCACAATATTGATTCTTTGGGAATCTCCTGTGCGCAGGCAGAGCCATGGCCATGTTCTTGGAAGGGGATTGAAGTTTAGTCCACAAGTAAATGTCTCTAATGCTATTGGTTTGGGCATTGGGCATTGAGCACAGAATGCATGTCAGAAGAATCACACCTGTATTTTGTACTACGTGCTCACAGATCCCTCTAGGGCTGCTGGAAGCTCTCATTTAAGGTACAAACATTTAGAGGTGCATAGATATATGAAGTATTAATACCATTTATTTTGTGAGGGGAGAAGAAGAAACTACAGAACCTTAAAGTTTTGTTTTTTTCTCTTGCCCTCTGGCCTGAAATTCTGTGTTGAGCTGTTTGAAATGTATTCTTTGTGCAGCTGAAACTTGAAGAGCTCTTCTTCCCTCCCCTGCTGTACTCTTTTCTCTGTTCTCCTCCTCTTTTTCCTTCACATTCCCTTTCCTTCTTCCACCCATTTTCTTTCCATCTCTTTTTTCCCCTTAAAGTTTCAACTCTTTTTATGCATGGGACCAAGGCTGACACACATAAAATAGGAAGACAATACGTAGGGAGACTCCAGTCTACACCTTCTCATTGGACCACTTGAGTAGAAATCTTGTTGCCTCAAAATACATAAAAATACACTAAAATGAAAAGTGGCTATCTACCCCATAGCTAGGAGAGGCTGCCATCGCAAAGTGTAACTTCGTCTTTAAGGGTGGAGAGAACATGTACTTTTGTTATCTCTAGGTGCTGAATTCACCAGGAAGGAGGAGTGAGGATAGTGGGTTGGGTCGGGTATCCATATGTGGACTGTTATTGAAGAAGGGAGAATCTCAATGGGAACAAAGCAGGCAAATGTTGTCCCAGTGATCTCCACAATCCCAGGGAAACATCTTGGGATTGGTGAGCCTTCCCTTGTTAAAAAAAAAAAAAAGACACCTGTTCCATGTGATACCCTATTTAATAATGGTGAGAAGTTGACCCAGAAATTCTCCTAAGGTATGAAAAATGCCTTAACCCAGGCTTAATGAGGCATCTCGGGATTTGGTGACTTTCAGTAAATACCCATTAAGCCCTGTGGTCTAGTTTGCCAATCTGCTCAAATTCAGAGGCGCTTAATCTCCCATAAAAATGTGGCCAGTGACAATTTATTCAACAGAAAGTGCTTAGAACTTCCTCCATGAAGACAATTAAAAAGTCATCATACTGTATATTGTATGCCCAGTGCATGCCTGGTCTCAGGAGCTTGATCTATTTTGTCCTCTTTGTGTCCACAGCGATCCCAGAAGGTCAGTGTGGCTGTGTCCATTTCTCACATGGGAAGCTGCTTTTAAAGGGGTGATGTCACTTGCCCAAGACGGCAAGTGATTGAACTGTTTTGCTGGCTGTCCCTCCTGGTAGCAGACTGCTCAGTGCTGCTGTGACCTTCAGGGCATTCACCCCATCTATCCGCTGCCACATTGTCATTCTGGCTTATAGATCAGCTGGGCCTTGGCAGTGATAGAGAAAGAGCCAGCGTAGCAAATAAAATCAGAGAGGCGTCTGCACACGTGAATCATTTTTATTTAATAGCCGAATCAATTTGAATACAGCAGGTCCAAATAGAACTGCATTAGGCCAGTAATTTGATTGCCTTCATGACAAAGTGCAAATTAGAGCAGGCACATCTGAGTAGCCTTGGGAACAACCTGGCATTTTACATATTTTTCTATTCCTTGCTCTGAAGCTACAAGGTAGGTGTTTGTTTAGATGTTAATGTGCATTGGGAGGTGACTGTGATCCGGTGTTCCTGTTTCCAAAGAACTCTTTGATTCATCCACAGACAGTGTACAAGGTACTTAGTATTTTTCTTTGCTGGTTAGGCTGTTTTGGCTTTTTTTCCTCCTTATTTTCTTGGCTCCCATTTCAGGCAAACTAGTTAATTCTTCCAGTACTGTCTTATAGAGTCCCCACCCTTTGCTAGAAAATAGATGCATTTTATTCATTCACTGGAGACTTCATTTTCTCTCTTATTAAAGAGGTAGATGTGAGGATGAATCTACACAATGCTTCATTATACAGCAATGCTCTAGCTCAGTCTGCTGTAACAAAATGCCATAAACTGGGTGGCTTATTGACCACAGAAATGTATTTTTCACAGTTCTAGAGACTAGAAGTTTAAGATCAGGATGCTGGCCAGGTGCAGTGGCTCACGCCTATAATCCCAGCACTTTGGGAGGCCGAGGCGGGTGGATCACGAGGTTGAGAGATCGAGTCCATCCTGGTCAACATGGTGAAACCCTGTCTCTACAAAAAATACAAAAATTAACTGGGCATGGTGGCGCACACCTGTAGTCCTAGCTACTCGGGAGGCTGAGGCAGGAGAATTGCTTGAACCCAGGAGGCGGAGGTTGCAGTGAGCTAAGATCACGCCATTGGACTCCAGCCTGGGTAACAAGAGTGAAACTCTGTCTCAAAAAAAAAATCAGGATGCCAGCATGATCAGGTTCTGGTGAGGCCCCTTTTCCAGGTTTGCAGATTGGTGACTTCTCTCTTGTATCCTTGCATGGTGGGAACGGTGAGGGGACCGGATCTCTGGCATCATTTTATAAGGACATTAATCCCATATATGAGAACTCTACCCTTATGATGTACTTACCTCCCAAAAGCTCTACCACCAAATATCACATTGGTCATTCGATTTGGACATATGCATCTTGGAGAGACATAGGCATTCATAACAAGGACATATTTAGGGACCTGCTTCTGCTTTGACCTTTTGTCTCTTCAGCTGGTGAAAAATTTACCTTATGGGTTTGTTGTGATAATTAAGGAAAGTAACACAATTGAAAAGCACTTTAGAACTCGTAAAATGCGATATAGTTGTTCCCTATTATAAATAGGTAATTAATAATTGTTGCCTTATAAAAATATTAGTATTATTTACTTTAGAATATATATACACAGGTATGTATGTGTGTATATGTGTGTGTGTGTATATATATATGTATACATTTACATGTATCTGCACCCGTGTATTTTATATGTTAAGTGATTTGGAGGAGTTCACCCATTTGTTTCCCCACAATAACCCTGGACAGTGTTATTTATTTTAGAATATACATATATATATATATATATATATATATATATATATGTATGTGTGTGTGTGTGTGTGTGTGTGTATTTTTACTTATTTTTATTTTTAGATATATTTCCAACTGTGTAGATTATGGGTTAAGTAATTTTGAGGAGTTTGCCCATTTTTTCCCCCACAATAACCCTGGACAGTAGATGCAGTAAGATCCCTTAACCTCATTGAATAGATACGTCTTCTTGAAATACAACTTAACTTTGAAGTACTGTTTAGGGATTATAGTACAACTAGAATGCATTCGAAGATACAGAGATAAATTCCTTTAAAACTTGATATACAGCATAATTGGGATTAGCACATTTTTCTAAAACTCAGAGTGTTCTTCATAACACGCATTATATGCAGGCAGCACCTTTGAGAAGAGAGAGATTCTGTGGGCACTAGGAAATCCTTGCAGAAGGAAGGGTGGCTTCTGTCTTTTACTCCCCATTCTTCTCCTCATTGTTTCTAGGAGAGGGGGATGATAGAATGCTTCACAGAGGAGAGGACAGGTGAACAGGTGAACAGGTGAGAAGTTGAGCAGACACTGTATAGTAGCCCAGGAGCACTTCCCACAGCATGAGTGACTTAGCCAAGATCTTATAGCTTGTAAGGGTTGGAGGTTTTTCTGAGATACCAGCCCAACTCAATGAACAAAATATTCATATGATGAGGTGTCGTTAACTATGATTTTGAGCTTTGGAAACTGGAAGGCAACTTGGGGCCATTAGTTTCCTGAAGCAGGAAAGAACACTCAACAGGACTGCAGGTACAGGACAGTATTGGAGTTCATGGGTTCTTGCTGATTCTTGTTTTGCAGAGAGCAGCAGCCTGCATTCAGCCTGTGTCCATGACAGCACTGTGTACAGCCGGGTCTTTCAGATCTTATACCGGAATGAAGAGGTGCCCATAAATGATGCTGTGGTCTTCCGAGCTCATTTGCTCTTAGATGGTGAAAGGGTAAGTCATGAATCTGCCACCAACCACAATTGGCTGTTCCCTCTCATGGCTGTTCTCTCTCACTGCTAGGTAAATGGTGAAAGAAGCTGGTACGGATTTACTCTGAAATCTGACAGAGATGAGTGCTTTTAGTGCACTCATGCACTTATTTATGTATTCATTGTTTTACTTATTTTTTTTATTCACATATTTGCTTGTTCCATGTAGTCTCAAGTGCAAACAGTCTCCATCGACTCACTGGATCTCTTCTTCCCTCCTCATTTGCCCAGTTGTGCATCTGTTCAGGCCCTCTGTCAGTGAGCCAGTCAGCAGGTGATTTTGAGTAACTATTTTTTGCAGGGCTCTTTGTGGGTCCCTTGGATAAGGAACAGAACTGGAGAAGGTAGCAGGAACTCTACCTTGAAAGGGTTGATAATTTAGCAGGAAAACAGATAAATAAGCAAACGCCTAGGTAGGTGATGTGAAAAATTTTCTCTGTGGAGATGACAGAGCTGGTGTTCATCAACACTTACACAAAAAAGCTGGCTTCAGATGCGCATGCTGAATTCACCAGAGACAAAGGAAGGACATCTAATGAAAGGGGAACAGCGTCATTGCAATCCCAGAGGACTTGGGGGATTCGCTTTATTAGTTGGAAACTTGATTGAAAATTTTCTATTCATTAGATTAATACGTTTCAAAAAAAAAAATTGAAGCTCACACTTTTGATCTGCCTCCCCCACCGTCACTTCTTGTACCTGCTGCCACATTCCAGCTGATTTTTTCCTGCTAGAATATACTGAGAATTATATGAAAGAGTATTTCTATTTTACGAAGATCTAATTAGAGTCCCCCTACTTACAGTCCCCATGTGGTGTACATGACAACTCCTATTGGACACCAGTTACTGTACTCCTCTCAGGCTTCTTGTCTTTTTGTCCACATCTTTTATTGTCTAGGTAGTGACCAGATTCCCCTGTGTGGCTAAAATTGAAAAGCTGCCTCTCATTTTTTATTCATTACCCATCCATTCCCTCAAAACTTTATTGAGCACTCACTAAGCACTGAGTACATGCTGGAGGTAAAATAGTGAACATGAAAATACCCCTGGCATTTTGGGCTTATATTCTAATATTAGATCAATATATCACAATGTAATTTGATAAATCAACCGTGCATATTCTATTACCAAGCCTTCTCACTGCCACATGCTCAGCTCCCTAGTCTCTGAGACACACTCATGAGGGAGATAAGGGTAGGAGTTGTACCCTCACTGGAGGTCTATGAAGCTGCAGTTATACCCAAAGTGGAAGGGACTTCGTGATGGTCCTACTGTGTAAGACAGGCTGTTACCTCATGACAGATACTCAGATAATGAGAATATGAAGAGCTCAGCACAACCTTCAACACAGACTTCACCCAAAAAGGTTATTCCCTGGAGGACAAGTGACAGACAGGAGAGGCCTTCCAGAGAAGTCAGTGTAGAACTGAGACCTACATGCCAAGGAAGATTCAGGCACGCCACCAGCTCAGGGAGATGTCAGCTCTGGAGGAGAGCACAGTAAGGACAAAGAGTCTGAGGTGGGAATGACGTTGAGGTGTTTCAGGAAAAGCACTAAGGCTGAGGTGACTTGCACAGAGAGGGAGGGAAAAGGAGCAGGAGATGAAGATGGAGATTGGAGGCCCAGCATTGTGGGCCATGACAGGGAATTTAGGGCTTATTCTCGGACAATAGAAATCCACTGATTTTATTAGAAGGGTGCAGTGGCACAATTTTTATTTTAGAATTTTGTCATCCCTCTCTCAGTCGGCAAGCTCCATAGGACTGGATCTCTTTTTGCATCCTGAGTGCCCCAGTGGCCATAGGACTACATTGTGGATACCTGACCTGGAGTGGATGACTTAGTTGTTGAATGAATGAATTTAATTTGCAATCCCTTATTTTGAGGGCCTCTGCAAACTATTCTTTCCAAACAGAGATGAGCATCCACAGTGTGCCCTGTTTGATGGCCCTTGGCTCTCCATATCATGCCCAGACCACAGTTGCCTACTTCAATAATACCTCAAGGAACACACATCCCACTCACTGGAGCCTTCAGTTAACCTAACCCTGTCTCCCTTGTGCCATCACAGTGACTGCAAATATTTGATCTGTAGTGAAAATTTAAAAGAACAAACCAAACTCCTATTAGCCATGCTGGCCAGCTTTTGAATACTCGCCCATTTCCTCTCTCTGCTGTCCCTCCTGGGATTTGCCCCAGGAGACTGGCTGCAAGAACTGCTTGTTACAGCCACCACCTGCAGGGCTCTGTCCTGTAGACCCTGACTCAGCAACGGAAGAATGAAGTGCACCGACGCACAGATGTTATCTTTGCCAGTTCGACTGAGTGTCCAGCCCAAATACAGACTCTTTGGAGAGTGCTGTAAAGAGATAGTAGCCACTGGCCCTGACATGCTGACCTCCCTGGCCTTTATTCAGCACACATTAAATGACAAAAACTCTGGGTCAACACCAGTAGAGGTTAAAGATTAAAGGATAGGTTCTGAACCCTAAAGCAAACACCATTAGTAAAATCCCTGGTCGACCTCCCCCAAGAAAGCCATCCAGAATGATCAAAGGGTAATTTTAGAAGTATATGAGTAAACAAGTTAGTTAGGTAAACTTCCCACATTCCTTTGTGCCCTAATCTCTCTGGCTCCTGCAAAGAGACTCTGGCTGCCTTCAGCCAGATTTACTGGAGCTTATGTAAACCCCCCAGGCCTTCCAAGAGGGTTTGTAACTATATTCGGTAATTTTCTCTAACATTTTTCTTTAAATATTTTTGCCACCACCCTGACTGAACTCCCACAACTACTCAGTCATGTATTTATCTTTTGGTTTCCGTTGAGTTCAGTGATAAGAGCTTCTGCAGGTGACTATGAGAATGATAGGCCCAGAGCATTCATTCCCCAGACTCCTCCTCCACTAGGTTCGTAGGCTTGGCTGTGTCCAGCGGTGTGCTGCAGTCTGCTCATACCAGCTTTTGACAGCCACAGGTATAGACCTATTTCCAGCTCCCTATTTAGTGACTTCACATTCAGAGCTTGACGTCAATTGTGACGAAAACATTTGGACCAGAGAAACTGCCAATGCTACAATCAGTGTTTTCTTCTTTTTTAATTTTTCTCCAGAGAACCAGTTGTTAAACTTTTACCACTATACCACTTGCTCTTTCCTTCTTCCAAAGGCCCCAGCTTCAGTCAGGAGACACATTCCCTGTAGCTTTCTCTCAATTCTGATAACCACTGCCTCTGCTTGACTCTTCAGGCCTGGGGTAGTAAGGAAGTCCTGTAGTTACTGACCTTGAAGAATTGAGCCATTGTTAGTTGGTTTTTCTAAATCTTCCACACACTTTGTAAATCATCCCTTTGATGAACTGTACTTGAAGTCCTCATTTTGCGTGAATCCTCTATTTCCTTCCTGGACTCAAGTTGTTGTCTTTGGTTTAGGAACAGTACCCTTAGGTTTCCTAGAGTGGTTAAAAACAAAACAAAACAAAACAAAACAAAAAAACCTCTCAGTTAAACAGACTGTAAGCTCAAGATCCACTTCCCCAAATTCCAACAATAAAACAGGGCTCCATTTTTTTTACCATGGGCCACTGCCCTTTGGGCTGTTGATCTCAAAGAGCTATGCTGGCGGAGTGCTTATGGCAAACCAATGATGGAGGCTGGGTTTGGGCATTATTCAGGTATCCTGGCCATTGCTCCATCTTAATTCCGTCAGAGAATTGTTCTTGTCCCTGACAACTTAAAGCCTTCAAGTTTGACCTTCCCAACCCTCAACCTTAGCTCATGTGAGATTGTAGCCAGCCTTAGTTCTCAAGTTGAACAGGGGGTCTGTTTCACATTACGTGCTGTTTTCTTCTTCCTATCAAATTTCTTATCTCTGTAAGCTAATAATTTATTATTGTGTTGGGGGTAATCCATATGGCAGCAAACAATGTCACAGCTGATTGTTATATACATATCAGGGATAATAAAAGTTAATTGGATATGTCTGTAAACACTGTATATTTGGAATGGATGTATTAACTCTTTTTCAGTTAGTATCAGTCTGCTTATGACAACCAAAACACTGCTTATAGCCAGTGGCCAGAAATTATGTTCATGGATGCTCATAGACATCACTGTGAATAACAGACATTTATGAAATGCCTGTTCATCAAACACATGATTCCACATGCTATCAGAAATTCAGACACAAAGAAGATTCAATTGTGCAATGAGGTCACAGATAAGTGCAAGAGATGACCTTGGACAGAACTAATCACAAGTTAAGGTGGACGAGGAGATATTGTAATAACGGTTGCAAAGAGTGAGTCTGGAGGTAGTATATGTATTTTATTTATATACTCTGTGTAATCCCACAGATGATTTGGGAAGGCTTACAAAATGCATAGAATAGTAAAAAAGAAAAAAAAAAGCTAGGAATGGAATGAGGTAGAGGAAAAACACCTACAGGAAAATAGAGGCTAGGGCAAATGTAGCAGACCAAAATGCACAAGCATCCTCTGAATATTGGCTAATGGTGACCCACACATTGAGTGCTAAGCTCCCAGCAGGCAAAGAAGAAGATACAATTATTAACAGTGAAATGCTTACCATTCTGAGGAGGAAGAGGAAAAGATTACAAGTTAAACATTTTATGAGTAAGATTGCATTTTCATAGGCTTAAAAAGGAAAAGCATCACAGTTCCCTGGCAGTGCTTGTACAAAATGCAGATTCATAAGCCCATGCCAGACCTAGTGATTCAGACAGAGGTGGGTTTGGATTTTTGGCTGAAATGGAGAGGGGGCTGAGTTTTGATAAGTAGAAATGGGCAAGATTTCCACAGTAGGCAGTTAAGAGCTCCTGAGGCAGACAACAGCAAGGGACATGTAAAGCAGGAAAGCAGAAGGCAGATCTGGGGAAGAAAGCATTGTTGCTGATGGACTAGGAAGTTGCAGGGACACAAAGCTAGGAAGGAAGGTTGAGGACACAGCATGGAGAGCCACGGAGACTCTGCCGGAGGTCATGTTTTGCCTTTTCTAAAGGTAGAAGTCTCCTTCAGGACAGAAGGAGGAGACCTGGCATTTAGAAAAGTCAGCCTGGTAATAACATAGAAAATGGGGCCCAGGAGACCAAGGGCATACAGACAGTTGTTGCTGTAGTGCATGTCATGTTTGTGAGCTTCATGGCAGAGGTTGTAACTGTGTGAACTGAAACTGTGTGAGTTGAAAGGGTGAGCTGCATGGCTGCCAAGGGCAGCCCTTACGACTGGGTTCAGGTTGAACATAGGAGATGGCAGGTATCTTGTAGAGAGGAATGATGAATGGAAGCTGACCCTGAGATTTGGGCATGAAATGGGCTTGGAGTTATCGATAGTCCAGGGTAGTTGGGAGAAGAAAAGCTTCTACTGGGGAGTGAAAGGAGTTCAGGATGAGTTATAAGAACAATCACAGGATCTTAGCACTAACCACATCTTATACCTCTAAAGTATGTGCTGTATGGCAGGCGCTGTGCTGATTTCTTTGTCTGGAATATCTTATTGAATTATTGCAACAGCATGGTGAGGTGTTTTAATACTTTTGTTTTACATGTGAGGATACAGTGACTTAAAGAAGGTATTTATCTAAAGTCACACCACCCAGGTGTTGTAGAGCCAGGGTTTGAACCTGGGCAGTCCTAACATAAAGTCTGTGTTTGTGACCAGTATGCATGACCACTGTGTGATGTTGGTGGAGGAATGGGTCCTTCATGTAGCCAGGCCCCCTAGTAAATTGAAAATGACAGTAATAATAATAGCTAACCTTTGTCGACAAGTTCAATTGTGAACAAAGCTCTTTATGTACACTTTTAAATTTTCGTTCACACAATAACAATGCTTTGCGAATAAGTGTCATTATTTTACTCCCACTTGATGAATGAGAAAACAACAGAGAGGTTGACTGGCCCCAGGTCTCATAGATACAAAATGGTAGAACTAGGAGTTGTACACATGTATCTTGATTTCACAAGCTGCCCTCTTAGCCATCAGGCTGTAACAAAGCTCAAGACAGAAGTTAAGAATGGAGGATGAAACAAGAGGGTCACCATTATGAGTTGAAACCAAGCCGTGAGAATATGTGTAACCTAGAACACATATTTGACCGTGGGAAAAGGCTGAAGAAGGGGAGTCCTTGGCAGTGTCTAGGATGTGGGACTCTCTCACTAGCTGAGTTTGGGAAAATGCCTTTACCACACTGAGCCTCGGTTTCCTCATGTTATAAATGCAGGACAGTATTTCCTAACTCGTGGCTTTATCCACATTAAATAAAATAGCATATGTATTATGTATAATATTGTTATACATAATAGTATATGTATAATGGTAGTTTATTGCCTGCCAAATAATAACTCTTCTGTAAATATTAGCTTCTTATGTTATTTCTACCAGTTTGCAAAACTACTTCTTGGTCATGAGAAAACGACCCTTGAATGGAGATAATGACTCTAATTGGGATAAGGGAGAATAAAGAAAAATCATATGTATGTATGTGGGATGTGTGTGTGTGTGTGTGTGTGTGTGTGTGTGTGTGTGTGTCATTTTGAAGGGAGAGGCAGGAAGTCAACACCCAATTATGAAATATCTTGCAAATAAGATTCATTGAAGCTTTGTCAAGTCATAGCCCATCTCAATTGAGCCACAGCTTATCCAGGCCGATGATTTCTCTCCCAGTTCCCAAGGAAGTGCAGAGTTAAAAACTGGAGTTTGCATTGAATTTTCATTACCAAGGCAAATGAGTGTTCGGAAGCTAGCGGGGAAGCTTTCTTTGCCGGTCTCCCTTCCTGGTGACAAGAGGCTGGGCTGTATTGCTTTCCTTGGTTTGAAGCTAGGTTCATGATTATGCAAAACAAAGTTAGGAAAGGAAGTTATTTATAGTACTTGGATTCAGCAAAATGTTAACTTTTAAATGCTTTTTAAATAACAAATTTTACACCCTGGAGACCTAAAGATAAATTCCATCTGTATATCTCTTTATGAATTATGCTTAACCAAGAAGACATTTCCAAAGAGATCTTTGGATAAGAGATTTCCATCCCAGGAAGATGAGATATTCTTGCAAAGAAACAAAAACCAAAAAATGTGGTGATTGGGAAAGAGCTTTATTTATTCCTCAAAGATGCGTTGATACTTTCTATGTAGCAGACACTATTTCTGGAGCAGGGGATTGAGAATGAATTAAGATTAGTCTCTCTCTTAATCATACACAGATTACTATGGACGCTACGCAAGAAAATATCCAAGGGCTTTTAGCCACAGGCCGGATCAGTGTCAGTGAATACCGTGAATGGTGTCAGATGCAACAGAGATTACCTGATTCAAACAGTTTCTAAATGCCAGCCCAGCACTCCCAAGTCCAGGGTTTTTTTGTTTTTGTTTATGTTTTTTTTGAGGGGGGGTTCTTTTCTTTTTTTTTAGAAGCTGAAAACCCGTAATACAAATATGAAATTGCCTGGATTTTAAATGTTTGCAATTTTTTCAAAACATTTTCAAAAATACTATGGGGACTAAATAAGACACATCAGAGACACATCAGCAGACAATACCTGGTTCACAGGCTTCAAGGCTGTAACACTCCTTCCAAAATTGTAGTAGGCCCAGTTAAATACCAAGATAGATAAGACGCAAGCTGTTGTGGTTACAGACGAAAAGGGCTCCATCCTGCCTGTGAATGAGGAGGAGGCCAAGTCGTACCACAGGTGTGCAGAACTGACTTGCGTTGACCTCTGAGTAGAGGTGGTGGCATGATCTGGTATTTAGCAAGTAACTCCCCCTTGAGTTGAGGGTGATGTGAGAAAAGGAGAACTAGGGGTACCATCTTCCAGGTATATGTGAGAAGCTGGCAGGAAAAATAAAGATTCCTGTGTTTAAAAAGCATATTTTTTTTTTTCTTAAAGCAAAGGATAAAAGGGTCCATGGGTAGGACATAAAATGCCAGTGTCTTAAAGTGTAAAGGGTTAAATACAATGGATTTCAAGACAGAAATGAAGGAGCTGCTTTGTTAGGAAGCTGAGACACCTGAAGAAGTGACTACTTCCCCAAACATCAGCTTCCCCCTCAGCGCACATGGCAATGGTTCCTGCCCTGAGAGGATGCCGAGGGTTAGAGATGACAGTGCTCGGACTTACTCCCTTTGCTAGCCAAGTGGCATTCCACTGTGAGCTTACTGCTCCCTGCTTCCCAATGCAGGTGCTGCAGAATACTTCACTCTTGCCCTAAATGGGATTCCAGATCAAATCCAAATGAGACTCTGTCAAGTCCTGCATAAGGAAATTCCTTTAGCATTTTTTTTTTCAAATTGGCTTTTCCCAAACTGGCTATGTAAGTTCCTTCAATTTTCTTTTTGCGAAATACTCCCAGATATCCTGGTCACCTGGAACTCTGTGGAACATGCATGGAAATTCTGCTTTAAGCATAAATGGCATTGATTTTTGAACAAGATAGTGTTACTCTACTCTGGGAAACAGACCAGCTAAGTATTTCATTTGGACAAGATTTGACTCCTGAAATCCATTCAACTTTGTTTCTTTTGCAGGTGGAAGATGCGCTGAGTGAAGTAGATTTTCAACTCAAGGTGGATCTGCACTTTACGGACAGTGAACAGCAGTGAGTGTCATGGAAATTATTGAATCGTACTAGCACCATGCTCTCCTCCTCCTTTCCCCACTCCTGGGACAGCCTCATAGCCATGAACTTCAGAAGTTCTCTCGGACAAGCATCTCCTGATAAGCTGCAATGTCCCTTACTCAGGGGTGCAGGCTAAGAAAGTCTGTGTGGTCATTTCAAACCACATGCATTCTAGGCAGGCAGCTCAAATGCATACACAGAAGTCTAATATACACAGAAATCTCATAACTTGTTGGCTTTATTAAGTTGCGCCTTCTCATGACTGACACCTTCACACGTCTTCCAATGTGATATTAATTGGAGGTTTTAGATGAAGGACTGTATGAGGCTACAAATGGCAAATCCCCTTCTGAGTCAAAGGAGATTCTTCCAGGATTCTGCATCTTTGTGCTACATATCTGTTATTATGTTTCAGCTCTGAAACATGAAACTCCACTTATGTAAAACCTGCTCATCAAATAAGCAGGAGGCAACTTTCTTCTTTCTTATAACTGCTTCCTTTCAGCTTCTTCTGTGGCCTTTTCTTCCTACCCTGGCTGAACTGTCAGGACACTAAGCTGGGATATTTCAAGTAATAAGTAAATCATCCTTTTTTAGGTAGGAAAAGTGCAGTGAAGTGTAACATCAGAACTCCAAACCTCACCCATTGTATAACTTCTTTCTGTTGCTTCCTTTCTCTACTTCACCAGCAGATCCAGACTTTGCTAGGAGAGGAAACTCCCAATGTAGGAAAGGGGCATGATGGGGGGCTTCATATCCCCCCTTTCTTCCCCACTGCAGTTTGCAGGCTTTGCAGGATCAGACACAGTAAGGAGGGAGACAGTGAAGGAAAGAGCAGGGATTCATTTGTAAGTAGGATCATCATATGGTAAACCCTGAATTGCCCTTAGGATGTTGTTATGAATTCCTTAGAGATATGCTCCTTAGGTACTGCTGACCAGACTCTCATCCAGCCCTATCCCTGCAGTTATCCAATGTAGTGATGCCTCACAAGAGGTCGGGTGACTCATTCCTTGCAGGAAGATTTTGGTGTGGACACTTTCCCAAAGCACACACATCTGGCCCATGGGACATGGACACAGACATTTTAACCCCCATTCCACATATGTGGGAGCCTCCTCTGTAAAGTCTGCTTACCCTTCTTTAGACCAATCCCACCACCCTCAGCTTTTTTCCTGATGGCCTTTGCTGAATGAGTTGAGCACCAGGAACAGCATTCATACTGTTCTAGGGGACACAGGACAGTCTCCCTTGAAGACCTCCTCCCTTGGCTTCGGCAAAGGGAGGAAAACTCCTTCTCCCTCCATTCTGTTAGTAGAATCTCAGCACATACTGACCACTATTTGCATATTAAAGTCAATTCTCACTTCTGGTCCCTTTGGAGAATGGGAAATGGGGAAGCTGATGAGCCAATGCTGGCAGAACTGTTCCCCCCATCCCTTCAAAGTTCAGACTTGGCCAGGGGTTGTGGCTCGTGTGTGTCATCCCAGCACTTCGGCAGGCTGAGGTGGAAAGATTGATTGAGCCCAAGAGTTCAAGTTTACAGTGCATCATGACTGCACCACTGCACTCCAGCTTGGGTGACAAAGACCCTTTCTCAAAAAAAAAAAAAAAAAAAAAAAAAGGGTCAGGGTCATATTTCTTCTCAGAACTTCTTCCTCAAGAACTGTCCTATCTCTGAAATATGTCTAATTCATTATGAAACTGTTCATAACATGAGGAGTTGAGTCCCAGGAGATTTGATCTAAAGATGGATGGATGTCTACTGAAGTGTCAGAGAATTGATCATGTCTGGACATTGAGAAGGGGCATCCGCTGATGTGTAGCCTGTCTTGCCTGGTCCCTGGGCTGGAAGGAGTATCTGCCCATGATCCTGCCACAGTCTGGGTTCAACTTCACAGATGCTTCACTTTTGTCTCTATCTGGATCGCAGCCCTGTGGCCGCCTGCTTTTCTCACCACATCTGCTTTCTCCTTAGCAGCGTAGTGCAGAGACTTGAGGAATCCTACCTGCTTCACCCCGTTGCCAGGACTTGTTCCAGCACCATACTAAACTCAGAAGCCCTAAGAGTGGCTGGCCTTCGTCCTAAGCTATAAACTCAGAAGTAAAGCCCTGCCTCTGTTGTGCTCCTATTTTTGCTTAACCATCTGGGGTTTCTGTCATTAATGCCTCCAGTAACCCAGCCCTACTCTATCACTATGGTCTACTTCATTCTGAGACATTCATTCACAGCTCTATGGTAGACATTTCCACTTCATCACAGAACCCTGCTGCTAACTCCAAACTCAGCCTAGAAATCAGCCTCCAACCTGCCCTCCATGTGATAAGCCATAGTATACACAGTAAATGAGACCTTCTGTTCAGCAAAACAGTAGTTAATGGAGAGCCTGTATACAGGAGATTGGTTTAATCAAAGTGTATAGCCCTCAGCAACCTAGACTCTGTACTCATCAACTCTAAAACATTGGGGAAGTCCCCACACTTGCCTAAATCTCAGTAGTTTCACTTATAAGATCGATATCACTATAGAATACGTAGCTCATGGGTCTGTTTGATGATTAAGAGAGACAATATGTATAAGAGGCCAAGTGCACAACCTGCTGAATAAATGTTTTCTTCCTCTTTATGGCTTTCTAGGTGGAAGTGAGGCCAGGTTTCAATGTGTTCCTTCCGCTCTCAAGCGCTCAATAATAATCAGAGCAAGGGTTTTCATGAAATATGATTAGCTACAAGGAACAGGAAGCCAGAGGCTGGGGAAGATTAAAAATGCCACATTTTTAAATTTTCATAAATTGAGTTTAAGGATGACAAGGCATCTGTGGCATATCCTGGGGTGGACATTAGTCTCTGAAACATGACCATGTCATCTGCCTTCTTTAGAATCATGTAGGCCTGTGTGGGAACAAAGTGGAGAAGCAGAGCCTCTCGTGTCAGGGACAAAGAGCTTGTGAAATTTTTCTTGTCCAGCAGCCCTCAATGCAGGTGGGAGGATCTTGACCCTTGGAGACATGTGGCCATGCCCAGAGACATGTTCGGTTGTCACATCTGGGTAGGATGGTTGAGGGGGGATGTCAGCACGATAAAGGCAGGGGTCCACTTCTGAGTTGATAGATCAGGAAGAAGGCCAACCTCTCCTAGGACCTCAGAACAAGTCCCAGGAGTGGTGTGAAGCAGATAGGATTGTCACTCTTCGATATTGTCATCTAGTGAGTCAAGACCAGAGATGCTGCTGCACATTGTATAGTGTACAATCAGCACCACCCCCCCCCACACCACAAGAAAACACTATGCAGTCCCCAAAGTCAATGTTGTAAGCTGGCTGAGGAAACCCTGCTTTATTCTAACCTCCTATTTGTACTTGTTATTCTGCAAAGACCCATAAGAACCTGTTTGCACAGGGCTGGGGAGCTCACTCCTTCATGTCACAGCCCATTCTGCCCTGAACAGTTATGCTGATCGGGAAATTCTTCTTCAGGGTACAATTCATCCATGTGCATCTGTCCTCAGTTGACTTCAGTTTTATTTCTTGTGGCCACTCAGACAAATCCCAAATCTGGATGTCAGTTCAGATAAGAAAACTTCTTGGCTGGGCATGGTGGCTCACACCTGTAATCCCAACACTTTGCTAGGCCGAGGCAGGAGGATCACTTGAGGTCAGGAGTTTGAGACCAGCCTGACCAACATGGTGAAACCATGTATCTACTAAAAAATACAAAAATTAGCCGGGCGTGGTGGCACACACTTATAAACCCAGCTACTTGGGAGGCTGAGGTGGGAGGATTGCTTGAACCCAGGAGGTAGAGGTTGCAGTGAGCAGAGATTGTGCCACTGTACTCCAGCCTGGCAGCCTGTGTAACAGAGTGAGACTCCATCTCAAAAAAATAAAAAAGAAACTTTGTTTATGTCATCTCCAGGTTAAATACCAGGGCTCTTTCTGTGTGGGTTTTTTGTTTGTTTGTTTAATTTTTTTGTCTGCTTTAGTTTCCTTGTAAGAACTCAGACATTCTCCTATCAATGAAATGAAGTTTATCACCATTGCTTCAGAGGTTGGAGACCTCCCTGCACCACCACCAGGAACTAAGTTTTATCTCCATTTTGTAGATATCTATTTCAGAGCACAGGAGAACTACCACCTCTTCATTCTTAATTGTTTACTCTTACTAATGTGGCTTAAATTCTTGTTAACATTTTTGACATCTTTGCTGCACTGATGTGTATTTAACCTCCTGCTGTTCAAGCCCTAGGGATATATCTGCGATTCATAGGAACCTGTGTCTGACTGGATTCAAAGCAATATTGAGCAATAACTCAGAAACAGCTCTGAATCAGGAAGACCTGGTCCAAGATGACATTTTTGCCTTGTGGCTTTAATTAACTCGTGTTGGCTTTACTTCCTTTTCTACAGACAGAATAATGCCAGTAAATATTTCCTATGATTGGGAAAAGCACCATGTTCAGTTCATAATAAGCTCCCAATAAATTGTAGTCAGAATTAAAATGAATATAAATATTAACACCTTGCTGAGATTCATGGAGTGGACCCTTCACCCTCTCCCCATGAGGTTTCTTTCTGGCACAAGGGGACCGTTATTTATATTCAATCTATGGAGTCAGCCTGAGCTCCAGCGATTTAGCTGGCTCTTTCGCTTGGCCTTCATTTGCACACAAGCAACAAGGGTCTCAAGGAAGCAAAGCCCATGGTGCTACATCTGGAGAGGCTGCTCCCTTCATCCCACCCTTTCTATGCTTAATTTCCTTATCTATGGATGGAGGACAAGTATTTCCTCACTGCTGTCCTCTTGAAAGATGCCCCTTCCAGGTTTCCCTTGTGATCTGCTTCAGAGAAATTTGCACAGCCCAAATGACTGGTTCTCAGGGTTTGAGATTAGTGCTGGGTCCTCCTGGGAGCTAACATGGCTCCAGGTTTAATTTAGGTAACAAGCAATCTTCTTTTTATCACCAAAGGTGCTGTTGGGCCCTGTGTGTCAGTTGGTTTCATCTCTTAGACTCAGATACATGTCAGTTATAAAATCCTGGAGCAGACGTTGTGGAATCCTTGATGAAACTAGTCAGACTATTTAACCATTGTGCTTTGGGGGTCATTCATTCTTTTGTTCGTTCAGTCAGTCACTTATTCATTTTCATACGTGTTTATATTCTCAATATGTGCCAGATACTAGGCTAGGTATTAGGAATGTAAAGATGCATTAGTCATAGTCCCTGGCCTTAAGAGGTAGGAATCTATTAGAAAACACAGGCTCACACAGTCAGTGCAGCATTATGAGGAGAGAACTGGACATCTGGACGTCTGTGGGGAAAATGAGAAAAGAAGTGGGAAAAGCAGGCTTTAGTGTTGAAGAGGGTCTTGAAAAGCTAGCCTGGGCTTCTTATTCATCACTGACAGGTGAGCTTGATGTCCGTGACAGTGGAGCATGTCACCAGGTCTGTTGTGTAGCAGTTGTGTGATATCTAGTGATACTTTTGAGCTTTGGTTTCCTCATCTGCCAATGATGGAAAAAATGATTTCTACTAGAGAGAGCGTTTGCAGGATTGAAGAAGATGATGTATGCATGGTGCTTGGCTCGTGGAGAGGCTTAATAGAGATCTGCTTGGATGACAGCAGGAGCAACCCACCATTTCTCACATGCGCTCACATGCTTGCCTTCTAGGTTGAGGGATGTGGCCGGGGCACCGATGGTCAGCAGCCGCACACTTGGCCTGCACTTCCACCCCCGGAATGGTCTGCACCACCAGGTCCCCGTCATGTTCGACTATTTCCACCTGTCTGTGATCTCAGTGACCATCCATGCTTCCCTGGTGGCTCTGCAGCAGCCCTTGATCAGGTATGAAGTTTGGAGACAGCCCTGATATGTGGGAGCTTCCATCCATCTCAGGTGTGGTGGAGGGGCAGGGAGTTTTCCAGCTGAGATCAGCACGGGCAAGGGAGTTTCTCTAAGACTGTAGGTTTAAGCTTTGAGCCTCACTGAGGAACATGGGAGAGAGGAAGGAGGGGGATCCCACGGGGAGACTGGTGTGGGATCCAGAAGTCAAAAGCCTGCAAACTATGGCTGATACCAGGAAGACTTGGAGTCTGGCTTCGCATTTTTCTAACTGTGCCTTCTTTGAGAAACCACCTAATGTTCCTGAGCCACATAATCATCTCTACAACGGGAACACTAATGCGTATCCCATCTATGCAACACTTCAGTGAATCTCAAATGAAGATGGTGCCAGGCACATGGTAGGAGCTTAGTTTTCTTTTTCTCCCCCAAGTGGTTATTTGTTCAAATGCAGACAGTCCATTCATATGGGTTTTTTGTTTGTTTTTTTGTTTGTTTGCTTGTTTTTGAGACAGAGTCTCGCCCGTGTTGCCCAGGCTGGAGTGCAATGGTGCCATCTTGGCTCATTGCAACCTCCAGTTCCTGGGCTCAAACAGTCTCAGCCTTCCGAGTATCTGGGATTACAGGCACATGCCACCATGCCCAGCTAATTTTTGTATTTTTTAAATACAGACAGAGCTTCACCATGTTGGCCAGGCTGGTCTTAAACTCCTGACCTCAGGTGATCCACCCTCCTTGGCCTCCCAAAGTGGTGGAATTACGGGCATGAACCTCCATGCCCAGCCCATTCATATGGTTTGATTCTTTCCTTCAGTGAATTTTTTCAGAATGTGTTCAAGATCCTGCAAAGCACTGAGGTTATATGAATGGCCTACGTGGAGGCATAGAACTGACAGGAGCTAGCACATTGTACTGTGCTCACCTGTCTTTCTACTTACTCCCAGCATGGACAGATAGGTGCATCATATCATTTCAAAACATTACACATGGGCAAAAGTTGCTTGTGTGCAATGTTTATGCATAGAATGTTGCATCATGGAGTTTCTGATAGGGATCTTTCCTAATTTCCCTTTTATGAATGGCTTCTCAGTGCTGAGAGTTTTAGTGCATATGCAGGAGACTTGAATTTTCACTACACTTGCTGTTTCTGTCCCGAAGCCCTTGATCTCTGCTGGGGTCAGAGAGTAGGAAATGAGTTACCCATTCTGAGCCATACGGCATGACCAGGAACTGCTGCCCCTAGAGGTGGGATCCAGTGACCACACACATCTTCTGGGTTCCTATCCTGGCTCCATTATTCTTTTATTCAGTGGGTATTTACGGGGGGGTCTGCTGTGCTCTAGGAAAAGTGTAAGGGAATATGCAGTACACCCTACTATGGAATATAAAGATACTTTGGAATAGATGTTTTCCTCAATGGGTTCACAGTCCAAAGAAGTGGACCCATTTGCATATAAGAAATTATAATATGACAAATGCCGTTGTGGTAGAGTTTGGTAGAAAATGTTACAAGATTCACAGTCATAGGAATAAAGGACAGCAGACCTGATCTTGGGAAGTGACAGGAGACGTAGAATCCAGAAAGCAGCAAAGAGTACTATTATCATGTGAAGAATATTCCCAAAGGATATTCCCTAGCTTTTAACACACTGCAAGGCTTAGCAAATCACATCCTCAAGGCAGAATTAAGGGATGATCTGTCTGTCCTCCACCAGGTATAGCTAGCGAGGTCAGGTTCTAGGATTAGCAGGCTGTCACTGCCGAAGATGAGGCAACAGATGGTGATAGACAGCCTGGGGTAGGAAAGGCAGAGCTTCCTGCAAGGAGTTCTAGGGCCCTGGGATCAAATTGTTCTTCATCAGCTAGGGTCAAGACCATCTTACTCTCTAGCCCTACCACTTACTTTTTGGAGATCCTTCAATAAGTCACCTAATTTTTCTAGCGTCGGTTTCAACATATAAGTAAATGAATTAGTCTAATTTTCATTTATTATCATTATTATTATTATTATTTTAGACAGGGTCTTACTCTGTGTGTCACCCAGGCTGGAGTATAGTGACATAAATTCAACTTACTGCAACCTCTGCCACCTGGGCTCAAGTGATCTTCCTGCCTCAGCCCCTCAAGTAGCTGGCACTACAGGCAGGTGCCACCATGCCCGGGTAATTTTTGTAATTTTGTAGAGATGGGGTTTCACCATGTTGCCCAAACTGGTCTCAAGCTCCTCAGATCAAGCTATTCAACTGCCTCAGCCTCCCAAAGTGCTAGGATTACAGGTGTGAGCCACCACACTCGGCCAAAATTTTTAAAAAATGAGATATAATACTAACATGACAGGGATAATGAGGGGGTGCAATGGGATGAAATATATCGTGCTGCACATGGTGAAAACATGCTTGCTTCAACGTGGGTGTCACTAAGCTTTAGCCACTTCTATAGAGGCCATGTCTGGAAGGTCTGAGATAAATAGACCAAGTCTGGCATCGTTAGAGTCTTGGAGTCTGGCAGAAACACACACAGACAGTGAACTCTAATTCGGAGCAATACCTGTTAAACGAGGGGTGTGGGAACCCAGTGTAGAGTAGGAATTAAAGGGATGGTTTTTAGGATTAGACAGACCCATGTTGCAAATCTGAGCCCCTGGTTGTTAACTCTGTTAGCTTGAACATGTGAGTTTCAGTTTCAGTACATATCAGAAAGCTTTTAGAAGGATTAAATGAGACTGTACATATAAAACCCTTGGCCATTCATTCAGCTGATTAATATTTAGCACCTTCCATATTCCAAGCACTCACCTAGGCCTCACGTGTAGCAGTTAATAAGCATTTAATGGATGGTATGTAACCTTTAGCTTAGGAAAGAAGTCATTCTGCTTCAGGGACATGAGAGAAACCTTTCCAGAAGAAACACCCTTTGTGCTACACTGAGAGGATAAGATCGTGAGAGTGAAAAGTGAATTTGGGATGGTAAATTGGAGTTATAATTTGATACGGTAATTAATGCCACATTAAGGAATTGATAATTTGTTTATTGTATAAAAAAAGAGGTACTGAAGGTTTTGAGCAGGAGAATTACCTGGTAAGATCCATGTTTTGTAAAGACTCCAAACAGCTGTGAGTTGGTTAGACTAGAAGTTACATCAGGCTGGAGGCTGGTTTGGTGATGCAAAGTGTTTATGCCAACTGGAAAGGCAGAGAGCAGGTGTATTAGTCTGGTCTCACTCTGCTATGAAGAAATAACTGAGACTGGGTTATGTATAAAGGAATGTGGTTTAACTGACTCACAGTTCCACAGGGGTGGGGAGGCCTCAGGAAATATTAAATCATGGTGGAGGGGGAAGCAAACATGTCCTTCTTTACATGGCAGCATCAAAGAGATATGCTGAGCAAAAGGGGGAAAAGCCCCTTATAAAACCATCCTATCTTTTGGGCACTCACTCATTATCACAAGAACAGCATGGAGGTAACTGCCCTCCCACTGGGTCCCTCCCAATTCAAGACTAGCTTTGGGTGGAGACACAGCCAAACCATATCATTCCTTTTCTGGCCCCTCCCAAATCACAGGTCCTCAAAATTCAAAACATGATCATGCCTTTCCAACAGTCCCCCAAAGTCTTAATTCATTCCAGCATTAACCCAAAAGTCCAAATCCAAAGCCTCACCTGAGACAAGGCAAGTCCCTTCTGCCTATGAGCCTGCAAAATCAAAAGCAAGTTAGTTATTTCCTAGATACCATGGGAGTACAGGCATTTGGTAAATACATCTATTCCAAATGGGAGAAGATGGCCAAAACAAAGGGGTTACAAGTCCAGTAACTAAATCTCAAAACTCCAAAATAATCTCCTTTGACTCCATGTCTTACATCCAGGTCATGCTAACACAAGAGGTGGGCACCCATGGCCTTGGGTAGCTCTGCCCCTTGACTTTGCAGGGTACAGCCTCTCTACCAGCTGCTTTCATGGGCTGGCTTTGATTGTGTTTTTTACAGATGCACAGAGCAAGCTATTGGTGGATCTACCATTCTGGGGACTGGAATATGGTGGCCCTTTTCTCATAATTCCATTAGGCAGTAGCCCAATGGGGACTCTGCGTGGGGGTTCTGACCCTACATTTCCCTTCGCCACTGCTCTAGCAGATATTCTCCATGAAGGCTCTGCTCCTGCAACAAACTTCTGCCTGGACATCCAGGAGTTTCCGTATATCCTTTGAAATCTAGGCAGAGATTCCCAAACTTCAATTCTTCTGTGCACCTGCAGGCTCAACACCAAGTGGAATATGCCAAGGCTTGAGGCTTGCACCAGCATGCTCAGCTGTACCTTGACCCCTTTTAGCCACAGCTGGAGCAGCTGGGACACAGGGCACCAAGTCTCTAGGCTGCACACAACAAGGGGGTCTTGGGCCCAGGCCCACAAACCCATTTTTTCCTTCTGCACCTCTGGGCCTGTTATTGGAGGGGCTGCCATGAAGGTCTCTGATATGCCCTGGAGACATTTTCCTCATTTCCTTGGTGATTAGCCTTGAGGCTTTCATCACTTATGCAAATTTCTGCAGCAGACTTGAATTTCTTTCCAGAAAATGGGTTTTACTTTTCTATTGCATATCAGGCTGCAAGCTTTCCAAACTTTTATGTTCTGCTTCCTCTTGAACACTTTGCCATTTGGAAATTTCTTCCACCAGATACCCTAAATCATTCCTCTCAAGTTCAGAATTCCACATATCTGTAGGGCAGGGGCAAAATGTTGCCAATCTCTTTGCTAAATCATAGCAAGAATTACCTTTATTCCACTTCCCAAGTAGTTTCTGATCTCCATCTGAAGCACCTCAGCCTGGATTTCATTGTCCATATCACTATCAGCAATTTGGTTAATGCCATTCGACATGTCTCTAGGAAGTTTCAAACTCTTCCACATCTTCCTGTCTTCTGAGCCCTCCAATTCTCTAGGAAGTTCTAATCTTTCCCACATTTTCCTGTCTTCTTCTGAGCCCTCCAAACTATTCTAACCTCTGCCTGTTATCCAGTTCCAAAGTCACTTCCATGTTTTTTGGGTGTCCTTACAGCAGCGCTCTACTCTATTTGGTACCAGTTTACTGTATTAGTCCATTCTTATGCTGCCAGGAAGAAATATGCAAGACTGGGTAATTAATAAAGAACAGATGTTTAATTGACTCACAGTTCTGCAGGGCTGAGGTGGCCTCAGGAAACTTACAATCATGGTGGAAGGAGAAGTAAACATGTTCTTATTTACATGGTGGCAGCAAGAGAATGCTGAACAAATGGGGGAAAGCCCATTATACAACCAGCGGATCTCATGAGAACTCATTCAATATCAGGAGAACAGCATGGTGGTAACCACCCCCATGATTCAATTACCTTCCACTGGGTACCTCCCACAACATGTGTGTATCATGAAAGCTACAATTCAAGATGAAATTTGGGTGGGGACACAGCAAAACCATATCAGCAGGTTTCATTCTCCTTTTATAATGGAGGCCCTGATACTACCCTAATGAAAATGTGGTTATCTTAGAAATCTTAGTAAAATGTTTAAACTTCTGACAGAAAGAGTTTCTTGCAAGTTTGTCTCCAGCAATCTTGCTGGAGTGAAACACAGATAGAAATTCACAGTAAGGTCTTAAACTTCTCCAGGGTTGGGGGTATAAATAGAACTGTCTTCTGTCCTCTGGATTTTGCAGGAAGAAGTTCTATCAGTTGCATCAGAGCAGCTGGGAACAAAAAGAACCCTTTAAGCTTGTGGGAAATACCTGTCAAATAGGGCAAGCACTAGCTTTTATAGAAAGGCAGTTTTTCGCAGCATCAGTTAAGTCCAATCATCATGAAACAGGCGTGAAATTAACATTTAATTTCCAAAACCCCTTAGCCTTTACTAAAACAAGATGAAGCAAAGAGTCCAATTTTTAACCCCCAAATGGATATAATTGGATTTCACTTGAGAAATTCAGATTCATCAGAAAAGCTAATTAAGATCACCCTTAAGTAAATAACAAGTTATTTTAGTTATTAATTTGCAGTCTGTCCAGTGAATGTGCCAGAAGTATCTACATACACACTTTCTACTTTTCTTCTGGAATGTTCCTTCTATCTATCTTTTAGCTAAATTATGGAGTTGCTTCAGCTTGCAATCCAAAACAAATCAGAATAATGATTCTATTTATTATATGTGTGGCGCTAGGAACATAATAACTCCTAGCATTGATGAAAGCCTTGCGGCTTGCCAGACGCTATATTGGATGCTGTCCCTGGCTTATCCCCTGGTGGACCCCCACAACCACCAAATAGCTCTGGGTCTGTTATCCAACCTTCTGACAGGGGGAAGCAGAGGTAGGGAGATGAAAAACTTGCTTCAGGTCGCACAGCCTTTAGGGAGTTGAACCCTGAGAGGCTGACTGTATTGCCTCCTCACTGCTTGAACATACTCTAAGGATCATCTCTGGATACATTCTTTTCACCTCGTTTGTCATGTAAATTGCTCTCCAGCACACACTGGCCCGAGTTTGCCTCCATTGTATTACATCTATTGATTTGTGTTGCTCTCTAGACAAATGTCTTTAAGGTGAAGGCTGTGCCTCAATAATCTTACCACTCTAGCACCTAACCCACTGCCTGGTATATGGTATGGGCCTAATAAATATTTGAGTAAATGTATTAAACAGAAATATAATGCCAAATTTATTTTCCTGTCACTGTTTTAAGCAGGAATCTGTGTCTTTTAGATTAAGTCCTTCCACAAATATTTCTTGAGTACCCATAGTGAAGATGGTGAAGATGATGCCCCCTGGGGCTATATATTGTAAAGATGTTCTTTGCCATCAGAGACTTTAACTCTTACTGAGGGGCTAAAAGATGCCTAGAAAATAGTATCCATGGATGGGCACGGTGGCTCACACCTGTAATCCCAGCATTTTGGGAGGCTGAGGGGGGCAGGTTACAAGGTCAGGAATTCCAGACCAGCCTCGCCAATATGGTGAAACCCCATCTCTACTAAAAAAAAAATACAAAAATTAGCTGAGCATAGTGGCCCACACCAGTAGTCCCAGTTACTCGGGAGGCTGAGGCAGGAGAATTGCTTGAACCCGGGAAGCAGAAGTTGCAGTGAGCCGAGATCACACCATTACTCCAGCCTGGGCCACAGAGCGAGACTCCATCTCAAAAAAACAAAAAAAAAGAACCAAAGAAAGAAAACAGTATCCACAATATGACAAAACATTCATTAGAAAATTGAATAGATCTAAAAAGATTAATATGAATATAAGTAAACTTTACTGATATATCAATTGATGAAAATCAAATAGGTAACGATAGAGGAAGATGATTATAAACTCATGTATGATAAATCTGAATAATCACACAGCTTTTCCTAATCTCCTTTGATCCTAAAATTGATCATTGCCATAACAATATGTCCATTAACCTTTACAATGAATCACAGAGCTGGGCAGGAACTGCACATTGTGAGCTGGGCAGGTTACAGTCTTCCCAATTAGCATTGACATAGCAAGTGCTTTCTGTCTCAGGACAATCTTTCACATCATATTAGACTCTTGTGCAAATCATGGAAGTAGATGTTTTATGCTTTTCTACAGAAGAAAAGAAAAGAGGTCCAGAAAGGGAGGAAGGGGTGGAAGGAGTAGAGGCAGGACTCAGACCTTGTCTGGTGAGAGTTGTCCCTGAAAATTCCATGCCCATGCCACTTTCCCCTCTAGTGATATAAACTTGGAGCTCTGCTTCAGTGTTTCTTACTGGTGTGTTGGCATTTAGGGTGAGCATTTACTTGCACACATTTTAGGATGTGCATCACCTTTGACTTTCAAGCCTACATGCCAGTTGCACCATCTTTATCGTCAAGACATCAAAAAATGTCGTATGCAAACACCCCCTAGGGATGAACTACTCCTAATTGACTTACCCCAAAGGCTTCCCAGGAATACCCCTCAAAGGGGCTGAGTTAATGGCACCATCATTTTCTTTACCTCCTTTTTCATCCTTTCAATTCTCTTTTGTTTAGTTTTACTCGCCCAGGAAGAGGCTCCTGGCTTGGTAAAGGTGGCCCAGACACCGGACAAGAACAGTCCATCATTTCTCTGGAAAACTTGGTCTTTGGAGCTGGATACTGCAAGCCAACTTCCTCAGAGGTAAGGTCTCCATGGGGCAGTTGCTTCAAAACTTTCAAACTTCACTTTGCAGAGTGCATGTTCTATGAGATTCATGCTGCTTTGAAACATCCCCTTCAGAGATTTTTGCTTATTTGACTCTTCCTTTCACCATCTTCCCACCCCTTCTTTTTACCACTACAACCTCTATCAAACATATTTCTAAGGCCAAGCCTGGTGTAGATACAGGGAATATGGTCTTCATATGATACTTCTTATTTGTGGTCCCTTGGAAGAATATGGTTCTCTGGAGGTCAGGAGGCTGTGCTGTGAGGGTACCACTCAGACTATGTGATAACACTCAAAGCGGAGCATCAAAACCATGCCTTGTTTCAAAACCTGGCTCTCACTTTCATTTGTGCCCTCTCTGAACGTCAGTTTTCCCACCTATAGAATGGGCTCCCCAATAGCTAACAATCTCATGGAGTGTTATATGTACCCAATGTTGTAATAAATGTGAAGTTCCTAGTCCAGTACTCAATGCTCACTAGCTGCTCAGTAATACGCATATCCTGTCCTTCCCCTTGTTCTTTTATCCCAGGAAATATCCCTTACTCCTTGTGATGTGCAGGGGTTCAACCACACAGGGTATGACTCTGTGCAGATTTCTCGTGAGCCAGTATATGCTGTGAATTTATTAGCAGCTTACTCACAAATAACCAGCCTTATTTTTCAGGGTTCTCCAGAGAAACAGGACCAATACAGCCAATAGGATACACACACACACACACACACACACACACACACACACACACACACACGAAGAGATTTATCATAAGCAGTTGACTCACATGATTTTGGAGGCTGAGAAGCCCCCAGATATTCAGTCAGCAAGCTGGAGACCCAAGAGAGCAGATGGTATAGTTCCAGTCCAAGGCTAAAGGCCTGAGAACCAGGAAAGCTAGTGGTATAAGATCCATTCCAAATCTAAGTCTAAAGGCAGGAGAAAACTGATGCCCCAAATCAAAGACATTAAATAAGAGAGACACAGTTTTCTCTCACTCAGCCTTTTTGTCTTATTGCAGCCCTCAATGATTGGATGAGGCCCATTCATGTTGGAGAGGGCTATCTGCTTTATTGAGCTGACGAGTTCATCCAGACATACCCTCACAGGCTTGCCCAGAATGTTTGACCAAACATCTGGGGACCTTGTGGCCCAATCAAGTTGACACATAAAAGTAACCATCACACTAATAGTAACCATCACTACTAATTTCTATGTAGCCCATAATATAAATGTGATAAACCCTTCATGCCCAGTCAGCCCCCCAAAAGAGGTTCTCTGTCCTCCTATACAATCAGGCTATGTGCACAGACTATTCAGAATATTAGGTAATGCCGTCAGCTGGCTCTCCTCTGATGTCATCTTTGCTAGCTCTGAGGCCCAGCCATGAGGTCTGGCTGCAGCAGCTGCCCAAGGCATATCTTTGTCTGGTCCAAGCTGCTGTGTCACATATTCTTATAGTCCTGAGAAGCAAAGAAAAGAGTTGCCAAGACCCTGCTAAGGGACCTGAAGCCAGACTAGGATTCTATGTCATGGAAGGAGCAGATTTTAGAGCCAAATAAAACCAGTTTGAGGGTAAACTCCAGTGACTGTAGATGCAGGACTTCAGTCAACCACTGAGCTTCTCAGAACCCGGCGTCTTTAGCACTGACGCAGGGCCCAGCAGGTAGGAACTGAATGAGTAAGAAAGCGAGTAGAAAGCAGTGAGCCCTATAGCATGAGATGTGATTAGACTGTCCCTGTTGCCAGTCCTTTGCTACAGAACCATCCCTAAGGCAGAGCTCCCTGTGGTCGGCTGAAGCCTCTGCTGGGACTACATCACAGTTCAGCTTCTCCCTCTGTCTAGTCTTCCTTCCTTCACCTCTCCACATGGGCTGGGCCCCAGAGTTTCAGTAGACCCCATGTGCGCACTGAAGAGCTGCAGAGCCAAGGTTGGCCCTCAGAGCCTCAGGAGATTGACTGCCTGAAAATCTTCCACTCAAACTCTGTTTTCCAGGGAATGTGGCCTGGGACATTAGGAAATGTCCATGATCACAGATCAATTCAAAACACTTTCAACACACATCTTCCAAGCCAGAAGCCTTTGCTGAGGCTGCTGCAGAAGCATATGAAAATGATTATGAGAGAGTTTCTGTCCAAAGGCACTCTGACATGCAATTCCCCGCACACCCTCCAAGAGCTTGTTCAGTTGCCACCACTAATGTGAAAGTACTCTCTGATTTCCTAAAAAGAAATACCTTCTCTCCAAGTCTCTAGGCATTTCTGTCTCTCCACTACTGGGCTCTGAGTGGCTGGGAATAGAAACCACCTCATTCAGCTCCCTATCCCAAGGGCCAGCCCCATGCCTGGCATATACAGTGCCCAATAAATGTGTGGGGAATGAACAATTGATACAAGTCCATAAATCACTTTTGTGTAGAAAGCTGGCACTGAGAAAGCAAGACACTGAGGCCAGAGAGACCATTCACTGCTTCACACAGCAGGAGCCAATAACAAGTGAGAGGCGGCTGTGGGGTGAGGGGCATTCCCCACTGACGTGTGTGTGCCCAGCAGGACTGCCCCTGGAGAGCGCTCAGGATGTTAGACCTAGTATGGGGTGGGATGGAATGGAGCACATCAGAGACCATTTCAGCCCACTGGACTCTGTTGCAGATGACACATCTGAGCATGGTCCAGCCAAATCTCTGCCTTGGGGACTATTACAGTGTGGTAGAGAGCAGACTCTGGTTTCAAATGCCTGCCATGATAAATGCTGTGTGACTTGGGGGAACTCATTCACTCTTGTGGAAATTTAGTTTTCCTAACTGTGAAATGGAATCACATCTACCTTCTAGGGAGGATATCAGAAGTTAATGTGTGTAAAAACATTACAGAAACAGCCTTAGGCACAGGATACAGTATAGAATTTTCTTTTAATTTCCCTTCTTGGTTATTTTCGGGGATGTGTGTCAAAGCAGACATCCGTCTTTCACCAGAGTCAGATAAAATGGTTTATTTGTGAGTGCTTAGCTTTGAACTTGCTCATGGAGTTTAGCTCAATGGGTTATTTTCAGGACTTGATTCTTTCCCTGTGCATTTTCCATTTGGGTCCCATCCAATTATGCAGATTCAGTGCTGTGCACCCACCCTGTGCCTTCCCACCAGGCACGTGCTGCCAAGCAAAGAATAAAATCCATTCCCTCCACCTGCTCTGGAGGCTATGTAACCATATCCCTGAGAAGCCCAGCGCATTAACAAATAACACTGGAATCTGCACAGATTGCAGCATCAGTTGGAAGGATTAGAGAACAGGTGTTCCCTTCAAAATAAGCCTTTCCTTGCAGAGACATTTGCAGAACTTGAGTTTCATAGCAAAACGAGCTGATTGGCATAAAAAAATCACAGGGAGGTGAGGGTTGCCGTGATAGGCCATGTCTTTCCTCATTAGCCTCAGCCCCCCTCCCCTCGTGGCCTCTGTTCTTTCCTGCTGCACCTTTGACATCTAGACCTTCACGTTTAAAGTTGGTGGAGCAAGTGCTTATGTTCCCTCTGAATCCGAAATTATTATTATTTTCCCTCTTTGACTCATGGCTTATCTGTCAAAGGAGATACTAATGCCTGGCTCACAGGATTGCTGAGAAGATTAAATGAAATAAGCTTATAAAAGCCTTGAGCATACAGCCTGACACAAACATGCCCAATAAAACCTCCTGCTGATATTATTTTTCTGTCATTTGTCCACATAATTAAATCAAATGTTACTCCAGCTCCAATGTGGCCCCGTGGTGGGACATTGAGGGAAGAGTCTTCCACGTGGTTTTGCTCAGTGCCAACCTGCTGTGTGACCTTGAGCCAGGCACTTATCCTTTCCGGGTCTCAGTTTCTCAAGTCATAGGGAGATAATTGCACATGATCATCCCAGGGGCCTCTGTTAGCCCTTTCTGTGCTGCTTTTACTGTGTTATCCCTGACACTGCCTGGTCCATTTGGGGTCAGTTGGCACTTGCTTTACGGGTTAGCTTCTCCAGAGAAACAGAACCAATAGGGTGTATATGTGCGTGAATGTGTATGTGTGTATATTTATATATACACACACATAGAGATTTTAAGAAATTGGGTCACAAACTTGTGGAGGTTGGCAAGTCTAAAGTCTACAGGGTAGGCTGGCAGGCTGGAGACCAATGAAAGAGTTTCCAACCAAGTCTGAATGCAGTCTGTTGGCAGAATTTCTTTTTCTTTGGGGAAAGTCAGTCTTTTTCTACTAAAATGTCTTCAACTGACTGAACAGGACCCACCCACCCATACGAAGGAAAGTTATCTGCTTTACCCAGAGTCTAATGATTTAAATGTTAATTTCCTCTAAAAGATACCCTTGCAGAAACATCTATAATGTTGGACCAAATATCTGGGTTTTGTGACCTGGCCAGATTGACACATAAATAGCCATCACAACTGATGAATACTCAGCCTCTGGCAGACTGTCATTAAAGATCAAAGATCCAGACTGAGCACGGTGGCTCACACCTGTAGTCCCAGCACTTTGGGAGGCTGAGGCAGGTGGATCACAAGGTCAGGAGTTCAAGACCAGCCTGGCCAATATGGTGAAACCCCGTCTCTACTAAAAATGGAAAAATTAGCCAGGCATGGTGGCGGGCACTTGTAATCTCAGCTACTCAGGAGGCTGAGGCAGGAGAATCACTTGAACCCAGGAGGCAAAGTTTGCAGTAAGCCAAGGTTGTGCCACTTCACTCCAGCCTGAATGACAGAGTGAGCCTCCATCTCCCCCCACAAAAAAAACATGATCAAGGATGCAGTTACTCAGAGTCGGGTGCACCTGTTCTCCCCCAAGGAAGCCTGCACACCCCTTTTCTTCTCACTGACATAAGGAGGGCGATTCCATCATCCAAGGGAGGAATGGCAGCCTAGTAGGGAGACACAGTCTTTAGGGAGCTTCCTTTGTCTTCAGATCTCCGTTACCTTGGGCAGGGGTTTTAGGACAT